TGGGGCCCTCATCCCAATCCTTGGTGACCTCCTCAGGATGTGGGTCCTTCCTCCTCTGGGGGGAATTCTTTAGGTTCTGGTTTTTGGGGTCTTTCCTCCGGCATTGGTCTGACTTTCTAGGCCTTGAACATCAAGTTGAGTCTCCCGCTCCGTACTCTGGTCATTGTCCCCTCCCCCTTCAGGTCTCAGATTCAGACATTGGCCCCCCCGTCTGTTTTGTTGGGTCTATGGGAGGTTGCTGCTCTGCTTCCCTGGCTGGGACATCCGGGCGGGATCTGAATTCCTGCGCCCCTCAATGGACAAGAAACAAAAGCGGGATTCTGTACTCGGCCTACAATCCTCGGAGTCCGTTGAGGGGCGCAGGCCGCACCCCCAGGTGTCCATGTTCCTGGGACAAGCTTGGAGTAGAAGAGGTCATCCTGAGCTGGCCCACGATGGTTTGGTTTGCCATTGCCCATTCCTCCCGTAGATGGCGGTATAACCCGACAGTATCTGAATTCCGGGGCCCCTCTATGGACTCCAAAAAGGTTTTACGGCAATTACAGAAATCCAATTTGATCTTTTCTCAGATCCACCGCGATGCCGGACTGACCACCCACGTCCCCCTCCTGAAGAAGACCCTGGAGATGTTTGTGTACCGAGTGAAGGCCATGCTGACCCTCAACCATTGTCAGGAGGCGTTCTGGCTGGGGAACCTGAAGAACCGAGACCTGCAGGTACTGTAATGTTACCCACTACCCCGACCCCACCCACTACCCTGACCCCACCCACTACTACCACCCACTACCCCTACCCCACCCACTACCCTGACCCTACCCACTACCCTAATACTACCCTGACCCTGGCTGAAGAAACCGAGACCTGCAGGTACTGTAATGTTACCCACTACCCCGACCCCACCCACTACCCTGACCCCACCCACTACTACCACCCACTACCCCTACCCCACCCACTACCCTGACCCTACCCACTACCCTAATACTACCCTGACCCTGGCTGAAGAAACCGAGACCTGCAGGTACTGTAATGTTACCCACTACCCCGACCCCACCCACTACCCTGACCCCACCCACTACTACCACCCACTACCCCTACCCCACCCACTACCCTGACCCTACCCACTACCCTAATACTACCCTGACCCTGGCTGAAGAAACCGAGACCTGCAGGTACTGTAATGTTACCCACTACCCCGACCCCACCCACTACCCTGACCCCACCCACTACTACCACCCACTACCCCTACCCCACCCACTACCCTGACCCTACCCACTACCCTAATACTACCCTGACCCTGGCTGAAGAAACCGAGACCTGCAGGTACTGTAATGTTACCCACTACCCCGACCCCACCCACTACCCTGACCCCACCCACTACTACCACCCACTACCCCTACCCCACCCACTACCCTGACCCTACCCACTACCCTAATACTACCCTGACCCTGGCTGAAGAAACCGAGACCTGCAGGTACTGTAATGTTACCCACTACCCCGACCCCACCCACTACCCTGACCCCACCCACTACTACCACCCACTACCCCTACCCCACCCACTACCCTGACCCTACCCACTACCCTAATACTACCCTGACCCTGGCTGAAGAAACCGAGACCTGCAGGTACTGTAATGTTACCCACTACCCCGACCCCACCCACTACCCTGACCCCACCCACTACTACCACCCACTACCCCTACCCCACCCACTACCCTGACCCTACCCACTACCCTAATACTACCCTGACCCTGGCTGAAGAACCGAGACCTGCAGATACTGTAATGTTACCCACTACCCTAATCCTACCCACTACCCCAACTCACTACCCCAACCCTGGCTGGGGAACCGAGACCTGCAGGTACTGTATTGTTACTCACTACCCCAACCCTACCCACTACCCTAATCCTACCCCTACCCCACCCACTACCCTACCCACTACCCTAATCCTACCCCAACCACTACCCTGACCCTACCCACTACCCTAATACTACCCTGACCCTGGCTGGGGAACCTGAAGAACCGAGACCTGCAGGTACTGTAATGTCACTCACTACCCCGACCCCACCCACTACCCTAATCCTACCCCGACCCCACCCACTACCCTACCCACTACCCTAATCCTACCCCGACCCTACCAATGGGATTTCTCTTTATTTAGGGTGAAGAGATTTTGTCACAAACCGCACAGGAAAGTGAGACGGAGGAAGAGGAATCGCAGCTTCCTGCTGAGGAACCCGAGGCTGGAGAGGTGCAGTGTGTGTCTGGCAATGGGAGGGGAGGGCTGCACACTTCATGTCTATGTCTTCTGGGGGAAAGGACGTACAAACTCCATGCTTGTTAG